ACCCCCGACCCCACCCCGGGCAGAGACTCACAGAGATGATGTGGCCCTGCAGGCCGTGGGCGGAGTCAGCACACTCAATGACGGCGCTCAGCTGGGGGTACCCCACTCCTGTCTTGGTGCGGGTGGTGCACACAGAGCCTGCACAGAGAAAGAAGTTGACCCCCGAAGAGATGGTTATACATGAGAACACTGTGACATGAAATGTGCCCCCATCACCTTCGCAGCCCCGCTCTAGTGACCAGGGTGAGCCTTTGTGGCAGAGCAGATGTGGGGAACGGGCTGCCCACCTGCACGCCGGAGGTCGCTGTAAACCACACCGCCTGGTCATGTACCCCTTCAGTCCTCATCACTGTCACTGGCTGATGTCCCAGACATCGCCTTCCCCTCTACCATGCACCTGTCACTGCCACTCCTCCCTGTGGCATCGGCTCCCGTGCAGTGGCCAAGCACTGATCTCTCCACACTTAAACGCCTACTTCTTTCCACCTTTCCACAAATCTACACTCTGCTTTAAACAGCCTCTCACAATCCTCCCACAGCCTCGCAGCTTCTTTACCTTCAAACTTTGTCAAATGACTCACCTCTTTTAAGTCTCACTGCCTGGACTGTAAAATGCAAAGAGAAACACAATCTCCTGGGGTTGTGACAGAGGGCAGATGGCACAGGGAGGGGTACCTCTTGGCCCAGGGCCTGGCCTGCAGCAACCACACCCTTCACACCCTCACCTGCTCTCACTCAGCTCTGTGCTCCACAGAGCCCAGCTGCTTGTCCATCTCCCTCCTGGCTGCCCCGCCTCAAGTCCCTTGCAGCCCAGCCGGAGGTTCACCTCCAGGGCAGGGCTCACACCAGCACCCTCCTGCCTGCCTGTGCCACAGTCAGCCCCAGTCTTGGTGGTTCTCCCAGTTAGGTCCAGGCCAAGTCACACTCTGACCTTTTTATCATACCTCCCCTTATTCAAGCTTCCCAGTGCCCCCGCAGCACCCCACTTTACCCAGATCAGCAGAATCCAGCTCCACCTGCTCCCCTCCCTCCCCACTGCTTCTCCAGTAGGGCAAGTTTCTTCCCACCATAGGGACTCTGGACACAATGTTCTCTCTCTCGGACACTCCCCTCTGTACCAGCCGCCCAGCCAACCCCTTCTCATCTTTCCAGCTTCTTCTTAAATGTCACTGCCCCAGGGGAGTTGTTCATCGCAGTTTCAAAAAGAGGCATTTCAATCAGGATCTGTGTGAGAATGTTAAGGGTCTGTCTTCTCTACTGGGTGGTCGGCTCCATGGACATTCACTGTTGTTATCAGGTGCTGAGAACACAGCCTCGTATATAATAAGGCACTATAAATAGTCACTGAAAGAATGTGTGGACTCAAGAATGAATGAGTCACCTACATCCCTCTCTGCACTGCCACTCACTCAGACCCTCCCGGATGTCTTGTGTGCATGAGAGGGCGCTCTGAGGACAGGGTAAAGGTAGACGTGAACTCCTCCCTCCCACCAGACCCGGGGGTGAGATGCTTTGAGGCCCAGCCTCCTCTCTGGCTCCCGGCCACCACTACCTTGTAGGATGCTAATTTCTGTCAGGGGTCTTTAGGGACAAGATCAGACAGAGAAGCATGTCTGTGTTCCCCAGGCCTAGATTTAGCAGAGAAACCAGGAGAGACAGGGCAAGCCCCTCTCCTGCATCAGCTGTGGGGCAGAGTCCACGGAAGTCCTATAGCTTCCTGTGTCCTGCTATATGTCACTCACAGTCCCGGAGCCAACAAGTCTCATTCCCACGAAGGCGCCTTCCCTCCGCCCTGCAACCGGAGGTTGTGCAGAATAAGAGGTTTAACCCCTGGTTCAGCCTCAGCTTTTCTCCTCCTCTCCCATTCAATTGCTAGATCCGGGGGTGAGGGCCTCAGCTGCAGTAGGCCTGGGGCTCTGATCATAGTGAGGGCCCTATAAAGGGTAGACCAGTTGCCTTTCTTGGGAACAGCCAAGGAAGAAGCTTTAAATAAGGCACAGGCGGTTTTGATTAACACCCAGGTGAAAAAAGTTGGCACATATTTTCTCCTGACTAGAGGGGCAGGGAATCCATTTCTGATGCTTTTTTCCCAGTTCCCAGGGGTTGCTCAATAATGAATGAAGTCTATCAATCAATAGACATCCAGTACTGCTATCATTTAGATATGTAATATGCAATGTTTTTACCATAAAGAATGTGTGAGACTTAAATATGGTCTCCAAACAATTTAAAGAAGTAGCTCCCATGCATCAGGCTCAGAGAAGGCCCCTTGTTCTCTTTAGTCACATCTGTTCTACACAGACAGCCAGAGGGGTGGGGAGAGAGAGTGAGAGCAGAAGGACAATACAGCTTCTGGGAAAATAGAATGCAGACACAAAGATGTGCAAGAAAACAAGTGTAGTAAATGCTCGAGATCACATCTAGAAAAGCTTTGAGAAGGCCGGGCATGGTGGCTCACACCTGGAATCCCAGCACGTTGGGAGGCCAAGGCGGGCGGATCACCTGAGGCCAGAAGTTCGAGACCAGCCTGGCCAACATGGTAAAACCCCGTCTCTACTAGAAGTACAAAAAATTAGCCAGGTGTGGTGGCGCATGCCTGTAATCCCAGTTACTCGGGAGGCTAAGGCAGAAGAATCACATGAACCTGGGAGGCGGAGGTTGCAGTGAGCTGAGATCGCACCACTGCACCCCAGCCTGGGCAACAGAGCAACACTGTCTCAAAAAGAAAAAGAAAAAAAAAAAAAAAGCTTTGAGAGCCAAGAAGCTTCTCACACACCTTCACATCCTATAGAGCACCCGCCCAACACAATGGGAGCTAGCAAACACTCAATACATATTTCCTTTTTTTTTTTTTTCCCTTGAGACAGGGTCTTGCTCTATCACCAACACTGGAGTGCAGTGGCACGATCTTGGCTGACTGCAGCCTTCACCTCCCAGGATCAGGTGATCCTCCCACCTCAGCCTCCCAAGTAGCTGAGACTACAGGTGCACGCCACTGTGCCTGACTACTTTTTAATTTTTACCTTGTATTTTTAGTAGAGACAGGGTTTCACCATGTTGCCCAGGCTGATCTCGAACTCCTGGGCTCAAGCAATCCACCTACCTTGGCCTCCCAAAGTGCTGGGATTACAGGCGTGAGCCACCGCATCAGGTCCATATTTCTGATTAAACAGGTGACTAGTGAGTGTCCCTGCCTTTGGGGAAAAAAAGAGTCTTCCTAGTTTATTAGCCTATTTTGATCTATTATCAGTCTATCTATTACAGCCTGCCCTAAGAGGAGGCAGCCTGGCAAGGAAGAACAGGGCCTTATCCTTTCTGTCTTTTCAATAATGATAGATACTCAGTAAAGACCTCTTCCCACTTGCTCAGAATACATTATTAACTGGCTTAAACAAGTGGCAATATGAAAAACTTAACCTTGAAAATATCTCTGTATGTTAAAAGCTTGGCCATTTTTATGAATCTACAGGGCTCTTCTTCCTAATATTCTCTTCATACACATCCAATTCCCTCAGGCTGATCACGGAGCCAAGTCACAGCTCAACAGCATCTCCAGTGCCTCCCAGCTGTGCGTTTTCCCACAGATTCCTCTCATGTTGGGTTAGGTTTGCTTCCTTTTTTGGTAGTGTCATTTGGGTGTGAGATTCTTTTGAAAAATCTTTGCTGTTTTTTAGTCGCAAGTGAAAATGTGTATCTTCTTTCTTGCTCCTCAATGTTAGTGTCTGGTTAATAACGGATGTGCATGGATGAATGTAAAACATGGCAGCTCATCTTCATGCATGGCAAAGAGGGCAAGCAAACAGTAACTCTGCCCCATGAGAAAATGGCACCACCCATGACAAGGACAGAAGGTTCCACCTTGTTCTTCTGCTTAAGATGCCAATGGGTGGTCCTAAGAAAGCACGCCTGGGAGAAGAACATGGTCAAAAATCTACATCTAATATGTATCAGGTGAGGAGCCAAAGTGATCATTACCTAGGCCATGGGTCAAGTTCAAATGTGGCCTCCTCACTGCAAGCTTATTTGCAATGTTTGGGGTCCTTCAAACCTTCACATAAACTGGAGTCATTCATGTTTATTAACTGTCTCTACAGATTCTTCACCTATCACTTTCCTCTTCAAGGTGCATGGGGTCATTAGTGAAATCTACGTTCTTTCCTTCCACATTGGTTCTGAAACCAAGCCTTCATATTCTAACCACACCCAAGTTCATTCAGAAGGTCCCTGGGGGCATCAAAAAGCAGTTCAATAATACTTTGCATCAGGGGCTTCCCTGAGAAGCTCAGTGATGCTTCCAGAAAAAGCGTGCTTTAAATATCTGTGAGTGAGTCATTCGTGCATCCCCTTCTAGTGATCTCCAGTCCCCGCAAGCCCCAGATCCCATTCTTCCCCACACACGCCCTCTGCCGTGCTCCTAACAAGTCTTACCTGGTCCAACTCCCACTTTGATGATATCTGCTCCGGAAAGAATAAGCTCTTCTACCATTTCTCCTGTCACCACGTTCCCTGCCTGAGACAGAAAGAATACAGCTCACGATCGTGAACTACTATTGCTGGTATAAAGGTGAGGAACTCCACACCCGAACATGAGGATGTGCACGTCCTAAAGCCACCACGCAGCTGGAGGACAAAAAAGGAACACAGAATTTCATACCTGGAGACCACTTTTGGGAAAGGCCCCTTGGGTGAGCTGGTGGCATGAGAAGATACAGCATTATATGATTTAAGGACTAGAAGAGACCTTAGAATGGCCAGGTCAGGGCTTTTCAGACATCTCAGCAATCAACAACAACAAAAAAAATCTTAGAGGGGGCTGGGCGCAGTGGCTCACTCCTGTAATCCCAGCACTTTGGGAGGCTGAGGCAGGTGGATCATGAGGTCAAGAGATCGAGACCATCCTGGCCAACATGGTGAAACTCCATCTCTACTAAAAATACAAAAATTAGCCGGGCTTGGTGGTGGGCGCCTGTAGTCCCAGCTACTCCGGAGGCTGAGGCAGGACAATTGCTTGAACCCGGGAGGCGGAGGTTGCAGTGAGCCAAGATCGTGCCACTGCACTCCAGCCTGAACGACAGAGCGAGATTTTGTCTCCAAAAAAAAAAAAAAATCTTAGAGGGACCCCAAATATAAAAAGTCAGCAATGAAACACTCTCTTGGTAATTAAAATCTTTAGTGTTGCGCAAAAAAATGTTTCACAGTTTGCAAAACCCCTGAAGAATCTCTGTGGAACCCCAGAGAGTCAGAATTAGAAAAACACAGTTAAGAAAATAGAAGTGTGCCCCATTCTCTAGGGCTGGGATTCCCATCTAGACAGGAAAGGGCAGAAGAGCCCTCATGGACCACATAGCATCTGCACGTGCTCAGTTTGCAGAACATGAAACTTTGGCCTAAGAATAAACACACAAGCCTCCAGGAAGTGGCAGAATCTATCAAACAGAAGGCTGGGTCTGGTTTGGAAATAGTACAAGTTCTTTCACTGCAGGAGTCTAGGAGTGCAAAAATAGCCCTTTTTATTACAACTCACTGCCCTGTGGATTCTTCAGCCAGTATATAGGATACTTGGCAAGATGCCCTGGCTGAGTTTTCACAACTGTGCAAAGTCATATTTTGCAAAATGAATCCTTACTCATTTCACTCATGTTTTTTGCACTGAAGTCCAAGTGTCTTCCCTCTGAATTGTTTCCCAAGGGAATTGCTGAATTGCTTCCCAGAGGGAATTTTTCTTTTTTAACGTAGACAAAGTGACTTTTAACTTCATATAAAAGGATGTGGGGAAAAGGTGATGAGGAAGGCTCAAAGCTTTAATCCAAACAGCAGCTGACAATGGAAAAATCACAGATGGCCCAGAAAGAGGACTACAGGTAGATTACAGAATTAAAATTAAAGTTATACTCCCCAAAAGTGAAAAAACGTAAGGCAGAGCCGTCTACATAAAAACTAAAAACTTGGCCAAGTGCAGTGGCTCACGCCTATAATCACAGCACTTGGGAGGCTGAGGTAAGTGGACTGCTTGAGCCCAGGAGTTCGAGACCAGCCTGGGCAACATAGTGAAACCCCGTTTCCATGTTAAAAAAAAAAGAAAAAAAACTTACATATACATAAACACAGATATTCATACAATCAGCAAATACCCAGGTAGAGAAAAATATCTACGATTTTGACAAAGGGTAACATATATAAGAGCTCTTAACATAATAAGAGCTCTTACAAACCTGTAAGAAAAAAGCTAACACCTCACAGAGTAAGTGCCAAAAAGACATGAACATACTACTGAAAGAAATAAAAGTGGCTAAGAAAAATGGAGAAAGTGTTCAACCTCCCGAATAACCAAATGTAAACTAAGGTACCAATGAGGTACTACTTTTCACTTAACAAATTATCAACAGTTGTAAACAGTAAACACTAAAGAGAAAACATCAGACGGAATCTCTCTTTCTTCTGGGAAAATTTATCGTAGTATGTTTTCCCAGAAAGCAATTTGTCCATATAAAAGAAATATGCACTTCTTTGTATTCAATAATTCTTCTAAGATTCTCTCCCAAGGAAATAATCATACGGGTAGACAATCATTTAACTACAAAGATGTATTCTCTGTAACAGTGCAGAACTGTAAATACATTCCCCAAAATGGAATGATCCAACAACCCATCCATGTGATGTTTTTAAGAGTGTTTTTTTTTGTTTTTTGTTTTGTTTTGCTTTTGAGACGGAGTCTTGCTCTGTCACCCAGACTGGAGTGCAGCGGCATAATCTCACTGCAATCTCCGCCTTCTGGGTTCAAGTGATTCTCCTGCCTCAGCCTCCCTAGTAGCTGGTATTACAGGAACACTCCCCACTGTCCAGCTCATTTTTGTATTTTTAGTAGAGACCGGGTTTTGTCAAGTTGGCCAGGCTGGTCTTGAACTCCCGACCTCAGGTGATCTGCCCACCTTGGCCTCCCAAAGTGCTGCAATTATAGGTGTGAGCCACCACACCCAGCCTAAGAGTGGTTTAACAGCGTGGGAAAAATGCTTAAATGCTTTTAGTATAATGTTGGGAGAAATAGAATCTCAATTTTGTTATTAAAAAAGTATGTGTGAGTATGAAAAAATACACCAAAATGCTAACAGATGATGTCTAGGTGAAGAGATGATCTAACTTTTATTATTTTCTTCTTTAATCTTTTCTGGATTTTATACTAGGAAGTGTGTTACTTTTATAATTAAATGGGGGCAGAAGTGTTTAGTTTTGTTTTTTAAAGTGCGAGGAACAGCATGAGCTCTGTCCCTGAGAGAGACCCTAACAGGAGCCTAAGAAGCAGGGCACGAGCTCCAGTTCTTCCCCAGTGGCTGACTCGCTAAACAACCAAATCAAACCACAAAAACTTTAGAGAAGCTACTCGAAGCTCACCACACATTTTCTTTTCTTTTCTTATTCTTTTTGAGACAGTCTCATTCTTGTCTCCCAGGCTGGAGTGTAGAGGCACAAACATGGCTTGCTGCAGCCTGAACATCCCTGGCTCAAGAGATTCTCCTGTCTCAGCCTCCCAAGTAGCTGGGATTACAGGCATGTGCCACCACACCTGGCTAATTTTTGTATTTTCTGTAGAGACAAGAGTTTCGCCTTGTTGCCTAGGCTGGTCTCAAGCTCCTGAGCTCAAGCAGATCTGCCTGCCTCAGCCTCCCAAAGTGCTGGGATTACAGGCATGAGCCACCGCACCCAGCCACAATTTCATTTTCAATGTGGATTTCTTTTCCCCAATCTGGCGCCATCTATGAACCATTTTATTTTTAAGGGGCTACTTTAGACAAATTAATTCAAGTCAGCTCACCATAGACATACCAGGTACAACCAGGTAAAGTCAAAGTAAGTTCTACTTACTTATTTAATTATTTATTTTTAAAACAGAGATAGGGTCTTGCTATGTTGCCCAGGCTGGTCTCTAACTCCTGGCCTCAAGTAATCCCCCTGCCTCTGCCTCCCAAAGTGCTGGGATTACAGGCATGAGCCACCTCAACTGGCCAAAGTCAGTTTAAAAACATCAAGAAGACTGACACCGCTTTAGTAACCAGAAGCTTGTGCAGATGTCTCTCCAACCCATCAGCTACCTGTGTGGCTGCTGAATCTGTCCACGGTCCAAATGTGGTCACTGCTACTGTGTGGAAAAACCCAAAGTGATTATGAAATGCCTCGACCATGAGGCACAGCACAGCAAGAATGCTGCCAGGAGGACGGGGAAGTTTCCATCGGGAGGAACAAAAAGCTGTCAATTCAAGTTTGAAATCGAGAAGGGCAAAATAAGGGAAAAGAGGAAAAGTCCAAATCAGAAATGAGAAGACGACAGGAGTGTGGTCAGCCTTTAGTGAAGTCCCTGGTGTGCCGTCAAGCAGCCTCTGGGAATGGGGTGTGATAACCGGGGCCAGGAAGCAGCTGGTCAGGGTGATTAAGTGAGGAGTCTCCTTTATCTTGTCACGAAGCACCTTGGGTGTGAAGTGGAGGACTGTCAGAATGGGACTGTGTGTAGCAGCACAGCAGGCTCAGTCACCCAGGCAGTTCATGCACGTTCATTTCTTGGGCAGCCATGACAACATGGAACCAATGAACCCTTGTCCAGAGCACTGAAGCAGGCAGACGGAGGTTTCTGCCAGTCAACCCCTCTTCCTAGGGAAGCCAAGAATGTTTCGGGCTCCCCCATGCTCTAGAAGGCAACAACTGCTCCTCTGTGTCAAGGAGAGGTTGAAGGTCGTGGAAGAGACAAAAAAGTAGCCAAGTCAAGACTTCAACTACTTTTGTACCATTTTTTTAAAAGTTGGTATGGTCTGAATGTTTACGTCCCTCCAAAATTAATGTGTTGACATCTTTACCCTCAAGGTGGTGATATTAGCAGGTGGGGATTTGGGGAGGTGATTAGGTAGGTCATGGGGGCGGAGCCCTCAACAACGGGATTAGTGCCCTTCTAAAAGAGGCCTGAGAGAGATCCACACGAGGCGACAATGAAAAGACGGCCATCTATGTATAAGCCAGGAAGCGGGCCCTCACCAGATACGGAATCTGCCTTGATATTGGACTCCCTAGCCTCCAGAACTGTGAAAATAAACTTCTGATTTGTATTTTTATTTATTTATTTTTGAGACAGGGTCTCACTTTGTTGCCCAGGCTGAAGTGCAATGGCGCAATCACAGCTCACTGTAACCTCAATTTCCCAGGCTCAGGTGATCCTCCCACCTCAGCCTCCCAAGTAGCTGGGACTACAGGCATGTGACACCACGCCCAGCTAGTGTTTTGTATTTTTAGTAGAGATGGGGATTCTCCATGTTGGCGAGGCTGGTCTCAAACTCCTGGGCTCAAGCAATCTGCCTGCCTCAGCCTCCCAAAGTGGTAGGATTACAGGTATGGGCCACCACACCAGGCCAACTTCTGATTTTTATAATATAAGCTATTCAGTTTATGGTATCTTGTTACTGCAGCCTGAACAGAATGACAAAAGTTCTCTGGGCAAAAATAAAAACAAAAACTGCTTTGCCCCAATTT